CTCATACATCATCTTCAGTGTTTACCATGTGAAATATTCGTCACAATACTTTTGCATCTTATTTATAGAATACAAAATAAACAGACAGTAAAGACAGTCTCAGATATTACTGTTAATTTGATTTTTTCTAGTTGGCTTAATCGAGTATCTTAAAATATTCCAAGTTTAAGTGAATATTTGCAGTAAAATATTCATCACAATGCTTTTGCAACTCATGTAGGCATAGCGTGCGAAATAGAGATAATAAAAAAGACAATCTTAGATATTTGTGCTAACTCATGTTTTTCTGTTTCCTACATCGAATACTCGAAATTTACGCAGTTAATATTCGACATAGTGCTTTTGCGACTGATTTATAGACTATGAAATAGAAGGATAATAGAAAAGATTACTTGATTGTTTCCAATTATCTAAACCGAATGTGATAAAAATTTCAAAATTATAAATACTTACAGTGAAATATTCGTCACATTGTTTGTACGGCTCATCTATAGAGTACAAAATGAAATAATTGAAAATATATTTACAGATATTTCTGCTAACTTGATTGTTACAAGTTCACTATGCCGAATATTTTCAAATATTCGATGATTATGTGATTACTTCCAGTGAAATATTCGTCACAATGCTTTTACGACTTAGCTCGCAAAATGGAAGGATAATAAAAAAGACAATTATGCTGACTTAAAATTTTTCATTTTCCTAAATCGAATATTCTAAAATATTTGAAGATTACACAGTGAAGTATTCGACACAAAACTTTTGTGATTCATTTATAGATTACGAAATAGTAAGGTCAATTTCACACATATTTTTTGTTAACTTGACTGTCTCCAGTTTCCTAAATTAATAAATTAAAATTTTCAGTCATGCGAATACTTGCAATGAAGTCACAAAGTTATGACTCGTATATAGAGTAAAAAACAAATCATATACTTCTGCGAACTTGATTATTCCAAGTTGCCTATACCAAATTATCGAATTATTGTTTGAATACTTCCGGTGAAATATTCGTCACAATGCTTTTGTGAGCCAATTTTACTCAGATATTTTCGTTTACTTGTTTCCAGTTCTCTAAATCGAATATGTTCAAATAGTTTAAGTTTATGCGAATATTTGCAGTGAAATATTCGTCACATTGCTTTTTTTGGCTCATTTCCAGAATGCGAAGTAGAAATATATTAAAATAAAAAACAATCTCAGATAGATATTTTCGCCAACTTAATTTCTTTATAATTTTGTAAACTTAATATTTTAAAACATTCAAAGCTTATGCGAATATTTGCAATGAATATTCAGCACAATGCTTTCATAACTCATGTATGGAATACATAGGAATAAATAGGAATATTAAAAAAATTACTCATAGATTTCTGCTTACTTATTTTTTTTCAATTGAATATTTTAGCATATTCGAAGTTTATGCGAGTATTTGCAACGAAATATTCGTCACAAATGCTTTGAGTGCTTTTAATCTCTTCGTTTCTGGAAAATATTTAATAAACATAGAGTGTACTTTCTTTTCTCCTGGAAAAAAAGTATATAAAAGCGTTGCTCGGTGTAGCGGCTCACCAGACGATGCCGGGAGGTGTATTTTGACGAGACAGTAAACCCCGCATAAATAACCGAAGTCGGCGGACGCGGGGCCCCGAATATTTCTCCGGGGACCTCATCAACAATTGATGGCAGCGCGGGCGGTTGCCTGGAGCCGTATCGATCCCCCTCGGGCCGGAGCCGGGAAGTCTGTGTGGAAAACACGCCGCGTTACCGGCGCCTCCGCCATTACCTCGAACACGCCGCCGTGTGACGTCACCCGGCGCTCCGGGAGTGCCGCGAGGAAAGAGAAAGCGTCATCTGCTCTGCGGAACGGGCCCGTGTCAAGGGATCATGTCGGGGAGTATGAAGGAACGACGGGAGGCGGCTATTCCGCCGCCCGCGACCATCTGGTTCCAGCACGAAGGCTGTTGGGTGCGTCGTAAAAACATTACTCCAGAGTTTCCTAAATTGGTTTGGCATTTCTCTACCGATGAGAAAGTGTTATACCAACAATAGATTATTTCGCACAAGTTTTATTGAATTTTTTTCGTTGCAGTTGCTTGTTTTGCAGTTATCAATTTTTCTTTCAGTAAATTGTACAAAAAATTTTCATAATTCACTATTTTACATGATATAAGTGTAATAGAAGTTAATTCTATATTTCTATAAATAATGTTTAAAAGGATAAAGAACTGTAACCTGGAGCAAGAGCAAGCCAACCGTATTAAAGAGGAATAGATTTTTCTCTCTTCTGTGGCACTATAGGAGTAACGGAATTTTAAAATTCTTATAGCTGTTTTACATTGACAATTTATTGATCAATTAATTCATGAAGTCGCTTCATCAAGAAATTGGACAAGTGTAATGCACCAAATCTGCCGTCAATTAACTTCATGAATTTATTCATCAAGTTCTTGACGAATTAGAGCATGTTCTAATTTTCATCAATTTCTTCGTGAAGTTCAGAAGGACCAACCCAACAGATTTCCAGCCTCAGATCAATAATGAGGTTATGTTATTGGAATATGTAAATAATTGTGTGGCGTCGTACTAGTTTTGCATTGTTTTTACTGATTTGTTACTTACAAAAACTAATATTTATATAATATGTGTCAGAACGGTACCGCTGTTTATCACTACAATTATGAGTGGAAAGGTGACATTTTTGAAATGTATTTGCTTCTTTGATTCATTTGTAGAACTGATTCATACGTCAAAAAACTTGACAAAGTCTGTAGCAGTGAAAAACACGACACTGTTTACTGTTTACCAATAAAATCGTGAATTAATTCATGAAGAACTTCGTCAATTTATTCATGAATAAATTGTCAATGTAAAACAGCTATTAGAGATATTTCCAATTACAGGAAATATTAAATAACAGGATATAAGTGCAGTAACACAATAATATAATTAAAATGTATAATAAAAATACTTAACCCTCAAAGGTCACATTTGGGGCGGGCCACCTTGAAGGTCACACTAGTGCGAATTGGGATTTTGGAATCGGATGTCTTGATTAGTTGTTAACGAAAACAACGTATATAGCATGTAAGACCCCGTAGAACTTACGAGGCACACTTTGAAGGAACCACAGCCATAAAGACTGGGAACACGTGGCATGCCCTGGGGTTTTCAAAAACATAAACGAGTATGGCATATTACTCCCAAATTCACAAATCATTAAACAAATATATTTCAGCTAACACACAGATATAATAATCGACCTTATTCGGGCGCTGGTCAGGCATCACTGTCTCAAAGAATAACCTCTCTCAGTTTCGGCGTCCCGGACTACATTTTTGTATATACCCATAAATTACATTATTGTATATAGGGTGAGTCATTAATAATTATACACAGCTTAATGAATGGCAGATTGTTAACGCCAAAATATAGCGATTGAACTAAACATGCCTTACTCAATTGTTGCTTCGTTCCACAGAGTGTTATAGTATAGTAAGGTATACGAATCTCAAAAACTTAAAACGTCTGTATCTCGAAAACGGTTGAGTTTGTCGATTTGTAACAAGTACACTTTTTTTAGTTAGAATTGAACGTAGTTCAATAATTTCTAGTTAAAAAATTGAAAATTGTAAAATACAAAAAGTTGCACATATGTTTACGTTGGTAAGACAGTATAACCTCAAAAAACGTAAAACTACAAATTTTCAAAATAATCGGTCCATACATACTTAAAATATAGCAAAAAATCGAAAATAATTTTTCAACTTTAACACCCTGTAGAACGAAAAGGAACTACAATTGACTAAGGCATGTTTGGCTCAATCGCTACATGTATTTCGACGTTAACAATTTGCCATTAAGTTGTGTACCATTATTAATCACTCGCCTTGTATATCTAAATTTGGGTAAAATTTTTCGACGAATTGAATAATTAGTTTTGAAAAAAGTTTATTTGTTTATTAAAAATGCGATTGAAAAAAAAAATTTAGAAAAAAGGCTAATTCGTATTTTTTAAACAAATAATGGCTAGACAGAGTAAAAAAAGAATTTTGAAGTTCAGTCTATATTTTTAAGAAAAAAATTCCCCACATTGATAAAATGATATCGATTTTTCCGGGTATTTCGAATATACATAGACATGAATTAGAAAACACCCTTTATATGAACAAGGTTATATATTTTTTGTCTTTCATAATTTCCGTTGCGACGGAACAGTTCATTCTAAATAATGATGTCGTTGAGTTTGCCGTTTTTCCTCAATTTTGCCACTTCCTCTTTACACTGACTTAAATTGATGGGGTGGCTTGCGGAAGTTTTTATGAATGTGCCTGTAAAGTGGGAGAAGAGAACCACCCTTTAATTATGCAAAATAACTGTCAAACGTGAATAATTTATGTCGCAACGAAAATATTATGTAATATGTATTGTGTTTACAAAAACAAATACTATTTCGTAGTTTGTAGTATTAAGAAATTTTTCGTGGAAGTTATCAATTACATGAATATGTTTTTCCCCGAAAATAAAAAATAAGTCTTTAAAACGATATTTTTGCGTGTATAAAGGTATACCGTAGACACCCTGTATGGTAAATGTAGAAGGCAAGATTTTATTTCTTTCGCAAATTAGTTTTTTAAAGTTCTTATCTTTTCCTTTTTTTCACGACATCTTAGTGTAAATTCATAAAAAATATGTGAACACCAAGAAATATTTCATTAGATATAACTTTAAGTTTGTTGTGTGGGCCTACAAATATTTGTATAAACTAATAGTGGAACGTTTTATACTTGGAAAAAGTAAAAAGGATATGCTACTGCGACCACAAGAGAACACATTTATCAGCAAAGCATTAATAATCCTACTAATCTTCGTCGTCATTATATTAATAGTTATTTTTAATTGTTTTTACGTGCAACTAATTTTACGCGGCTTGGCTTACGTGTATTTGTAGTGTAACGACATGCTTTAGCGGTATTTATACGGTCTTTTTGCCTTCGCAGCGACCGAGGTCAGGTGCCAGGAGAAGACCAGGGGCGGCCTGCGTTACGAGGTCATCCTCGGCGAGCCGGAGGTCAAGACAGCTCCTCCCAAGAAGCAGCTCTCCCCCAAAAGCAGCATGTCCGTCCAGGACATCGAAGAGAAGCTCAAGGCGGCCGAGGAACGCCGCCAGGTCCGTACTCGCAATATCTTTCGTCAAAAAATCGCAAATCACGATTTGTCCTCTTGTTACAGCAATTGGAATCCAACAAAATCGCAGCTCTATCGGCAAAAATGGTGAAGATCGAAGAAGCGTCCCGCAAGAAGGAGGAACAGACTAGTCAATTCATAGCTGCTACACGCGATGCTCTGGAACAGAAAATGGAGCTCCACACGGAGAAAAGAGAAGCTTACATCACTGACCTCAAAACCAAACTGAAGGTGAGTTTTCAGTCTGCGGTAGAATTTTTTCATTTGCCTAATTGTTCTAATAAGTCAGAAATATTTGAGAGGATGTTTATCTCCTACTATTTGTTGAATTTTCTGTAGTCAAGACGTTTCTGTTTTCCGGAGGCGTCTGACTCTTTTGGGACCAAGGTGATGACTAAGGTGAATTTGATATTGTGATAATTCCTTGATTTAACATTTGGTTATTTACTTCCTCTTGATTTTGTGTATATCGGTTTTGTAAAAGCTGTTTTACATTGACAATTTATTCATCAATAAATTGACGAAGTTCTTCATGAATTAATTCATGAATTTATTGGTAAACAGTGTGGTTTTACACTGCTACAGACTTTGTCAAGTTTTTTGACGCATGAATCAGTTCTACCAACGAATCAAAGAAGCAAATAAATTTCAAAGATGTCACCTTTCCACTCATAAGTGTAGTGATACAACAGCGGTACCGTTTTGACACATGTTATATAAATCTTAGTGTTTGTAAGTAACAAATCAGTAAACATAATGGAAAACTAGTACGACGCCACACAATTGTTTACATATTCCAATAACATAACCTCATTACTGATCTGAGGCTGGAAATCTGTTGGGTTGGTACTTCCGAACTTCACGAAGAAATTGACGAAAATTAGAACATGCTCTAATTCGTCAAGAACTTGATGAATAAATTCATGAAGTTATTTGACAGCAGATTTGGTGCATTACACTTGTNAAACAATGCAAAACTAGTACGACGCCACACAATTGTTTACATATTCCAATAACATAACCTCATTACTGATCTGAGGCTGGAAATCTGTTGGGTTGGTACTTCCGAACTTCACGAAGAAATTGACGAAAATTAGAACATGCTCTAATTCGTCAAGAACTTGATGAATAAATTCATGAAGTTATTTGACAGCAGATTTGGTGCATTACACTTGTCCAATTTCTTGATGAAGCGACTTAATTGATCAATCAATGTAAAACAGCTATAATACATGTATCAATATTTAATTTAGTTTGTGAAGGTTAAATTATTTCCCAAATAAAATCTAATCAGAGAATTTTAAGGCGGCACAAACTTCATAGATCAGTATCGGTGAATCTACTCAGGTGAACATAGAATTGAAAATTCGTTCACATAATTTAAGAACATTGAATATACAGTCTAGAAAGTGTCGATGTTAAAAATGGTTGCAAAGAAAATTGTGCGTGCTGGCGTTCGTAGCATGTGTGAATATTTAAAAAACTTAATCAGAAATAGGAAAAAAAGAAATCTCATTGTTGGTGGGTCAGATCATGGGTCTTAAAACGGAAATATGAGAGTGTTTCAGTAAAACTATTAGCGGATGCCTGTAAAAACCATGACTGAAAAAAGAAATTTAAAGAACTTTTACAGAAAATGTCACCCCAGTAAAAAATATACTTTATTGAAGCACGCTCTTTCAGCAAGTTCAAATTACAAGTAGTTTTAAGATATTTAGGAGATTCGTTTTCATCTCAGAGTGCATGAAACAGGTTGCGCAAAAATAATATTACACAAAAATTTGACCTCAAAAACACACACAATGGCATTTCAATGTGACTGAACACTTGTTCTCTGTTCAATTTAATTGAATCGGTCCTTCTATCAACGAAAAGTAGAAATGTCTGACTTTTATTGAATAGGGGCATTCTACGCCAAATCGACCATTTTTAACCCTAACCCCCTTCGATTTGGATGAAACTTTTTTATTGTTTTCTCAACTCAAAAAAAGATGAATTTTTGAAAAAAATAGCTTTTTTTTAAAGACCGTAACTTTTTCAAAAATTGAGATATCGGGACTTTTTTTTCTCAAAAATTTTGTTTTTAAATATATTTTATGAAAAAAATAAATCAAAATTATCTGGACCTATCACTGTTTTTTTTTTTTCAATTTTCGAAAAAAACGAAAATTTCTCGATGTTTACCATTTTTGAACATTTTTTTTATAAAAAATTTTGACATTTTTTATAAATCTCCAAATTTTCAAATTTAGCTTATTTCACATTTTGAAAATTTTTGAAAATGTATATAGAATCCCAACATTGAAAAAAATTATTCTATGCAGCGATTGATGACAATTTTAAAAAATCAAAAGAGGATGGTTTCAAAATGATTTATTTGAGTTCAATTACGTTGCATGTCTTTTTAAAACCCACTGTTTGTCCAAAAATGGACCAAAATAACGACTTTTTTTTCATTTTCTTTGTTTTTGGTTGTAATTTCCGAAAAAAAATAAAACTGTTATTCAAAACGATAATCTATTTTTTCTTAACTTTTTAAATAAAAATCGAATTTTTTTCATGTTTACCATTTACAAATATTTCTTTTATATATATTTTTTTCAATTTTGGGAAAAAACTGAAAAAATTTGAGGATTTATAAAAAATGTCAGTTTTTTATAAGAAAAAAATAATAAAAA